CTGTATTGTATACTTTGTACCCTCTTGAGCGTTCAGAGTATCCTAACATGATACACTTCTGTGCTTTAGAGTCAAACTTGTTCAAATAATTCTTTGTATTTAATATAAAGCAAGTACATCCAAATGGATGAAAATATGAAATGTTGGGCTTTCTGTTCTTCCACAATTCATATGGAGTCTTTTCCAGAATAGGTCTTATTGAGATTCTATTCTGAATGTAGCACGCTGTGTTTATTGCCTCTGCCCAGAAGGTCTTAGCAACGTTTGTCTCATTGATCATGGTTCTGGCCATTTCTTGCAATGTTCTGTTCTTTCGTTCTACAACTCCATTTTGTTGGGGAGTTCTAGGACAAGAGAAATCATGCAGAATGCCTCTGTCATTAAAGAATGACTCAAAATCTTTGTTTTCAAATTCTCCACCATGATCACTTCTGACTTTAACGATTCTAAGATCCTTTTCATTCTGAACTTGGTTACAGAAGGTAACAAACACAGAGTGTGACTCGTCCTTGTGTCTTAAGAACTTTACCCATGTCCATCTGCTATAGTCATCTACGATTACTAACCCATACTTCTTACCACTGACTGAAGCAGTTTTAACTGGTCCAAATAAGTCAATATGCAGAAGTTCTAATGGCTTAGAGGTAGAAACAACATTTTTGGATTTAAAAGAAGGTTTTGCAAACTTGCCTTTCTGACATGCTTCACACAGAGCATCTGAATTGAACTTCAAATTAGGAAGTCCTCTGACCAGATTGAGTTTGTTAATCTGAGATATTCTTCTCATACTAACATGCCCCAATCTTCTGTGCCAGATCCACTGCTCGTTGTTAACAGACAGAAGGCATTTTACATTCTGACTCTTTAGTTCAGAAAGTTTGATTTTGTAGATGTTGTTTTTCCTCTTACCATTAAGCAGGATAGTCCCATCTTTCTGACTAACAGCTTTACATGATTTTTGATTAAAGATTATATCATAACCGTTATCACTTAATTGACTTATGGATAACAGATTATGCATCAATCCATCTACTAGCAGAACATTATTAATAGAGGGAAGATTTCCATTACCTACAGTTCCAGAGCCAATTATCTTTCCCCTCTGATTGCCTCCAAAACCAACGTGGCCTCCAGGCTTAAGTTCCAGGCTTTGGAACATATGCCTTCTTCCCGTCATGTGTCGCGAGCAGCCAGAGTCCAGGTACCATGACTGGTGTTTCTGACTTGCTGCTAAAGATATCTGCAACATGTATTATTTTATCCTTAGGTACCCAGATTTTCTTGGGTCCTGATTTGTTAGTTTTACCAAAACTCTGGTTGAATTTTGGTTTCACAGAGTACTTACTGCTAGTGTATTTAATATCATGTGTGTGACCATACACAAAATGTGAATTCAGAGGAGTGTGTTTAATGGTTAAGTCCATGACATTCTTTGGTGTAGGAACCTTACCTTGGTATCCTATTCCTTTCCTGCCGTTTCTGCTAACTCCATAGATCATTGAAGCTATTTTGCTTCTATCTATGCTTTTAGCGAGGAACTTCTGGAAACTGTGATCATACTCCTTGATGATCTCATCAGCGTTGCTGGGAGTTTCAGAAATTGGTTCCTTCTGAGAGTTTTGTAAAGTGTTTTCTAATTTTGAAATCTTATTTCTCAGCTCAGAATTCTCCAATTTGAGACTCTCAGTCTTATTAGAGTCAGATTCAAGATTCATTTTCAGGTCTCTGAATTTAACTCTAATTTGCTGATACCGTTCCAGAATCTCATTAAGGCTTTCAGCAAGTTCAGCCTTTGTAAAGTTAACAGCAAAGTTAGGAAATACCTCTTCAGTATCTGATTCTGAGTCTGATTCAGAAGCTTCACTATCTTCTGAGATGTTAGCCATGAGAGCTATGTTTGCCCTCTCATCATCTGATTCTGAGTCAGCTTCAGACGAGTCAGAGTCATCCCATGTAGCCATGAGACTTTTCTTCTTCTCTCTTCCAAACTTCTTTTTGGGTTTTTCCCTCTGAAGCTTTGGGCAGTCACTCTTATAGTGTCCTTGCTCATTGCACTCATAGCAGATGATGTCCTTGGTGTTTGGCTTTTTGCTGCTAGAGGAGCCTTCAGATCTTCTGTATCCAGAGGAAGAATTTGTCCTTCTGTATCTGGAAGAAGACTCGTTCTGATCAGATCTTCTGGGATTCCTGAACTTCCTTTGTCTTTACTTCCACAGTTGATTTACTCTTCTGGAAAGGAGGGAGAGTTCGTCTTCTTCTGATGAGGATCCATCAGATGTTTCTTCAACTGCCTGCAAAACTTCAGACTCAAATTTTTTGTTAGATTTTAATGCTAAAGGCTTACCTTGCTTCTGAGGCTCGTCAGCTTCTAGCTCTATCTCATGACTTCTGAGGGAGCTGATAAGTTCCTCCGGAGTGATTTTGTTGAGATCTTTAGCTAGCTTCAGAGCTGTAACCATTGGTCTCCACTGCTTGGGTAAACTTCTAATGATTTTCTTGACATGGTCAGCAGTAGAGTATCCTTTGTCCAGAACCTTGAGACCAGCTACCAGAATCTGGAATCTTGAGAACATTGTTTCAATGGATTCAGATTCTTCCATTTTGAACGCCTCATACTTCTGAATGAGCGCCAGAGCTTTAGTTTCTTTGACCTGAACGTTGCCCTCATGCGTCATTCTGAGTGAGTCAAAAATATTCTTTGTTGTGTCTCTGTTGGAGATCTTTTCATATTCAGTATAGGAGATGGCGCTGAGGAGGATGGTCCTGGCCTTGTGGTGATTCTTGAAGTCACGCTTTTGTTGGTCAGACATTGTTTTTCTATCAATCTTCTGACCGCTTGCATTCACAGGGTGCGTGTATCCGTCTGTCACCATATCCCACAGATCAGCATCATGTGCCAGAAAGAAGCTTTCAATTCTGTCTTTCCAGTAATCAAAGTTTTCTCCATCAAAGACTGGAGGTTTGCCGCTGAATCTGTCTATGTCCTCATTGTTGTCATTGCTGGTGTGAGAATAGTTTCCTGCCATTGTGTTTTTCTGACGCTGGATCTTGTACTGACACGGTTAAGTGTTTTAGCTCAGAACCAGGCGCTCTGATGCCAATTGAAGTAGTGAGAAACACAAGAAGGGGGGGTTGAATTGTAAAACTGAAAATCAATGCAATGAACAAGATATTTTTATCCTGGTTCGTTTGATCTCAAACTACTCCAGTCCACCCGTCAAGGTGATTTCGCCTCTCTCCAACGAGGTCTTAATCCACTATATTCAACTGAATATTACATACTGCTTTAACAACTGCTAAAGCCTTCTTGATGCAAACCACAACCCGGTTTGTCAAGGGAACACTTTCTTACAAAGAAGATAAATCTAAGTGTGTGAATGTTTTCTACAAAACTGTATCACAACTATGATGTATACACAACTTAAAGCTTAGAAACTAGATTGCTAAACAATGATTGAATATGAGAATGTGTAGTGTTTAGCAAACTGAGAGAAAGAAGATTTTGAAGAGCATTTATGCGTGTAAAGATTTTGGAGAGCATTAGCCAATTCAATCTTCAAAGTCTTGTTTATATAGCACTAAGATGTTGAACGTTGGAGAAATATTCTTGATTCAATGCTAATAACAAACTTTCCTTATCGAGCAGATCTTGTCTGGAATGAGGCCGTTGGTATTAATTTGCTTTCAATGCACAGTACCGTTGCTTACTTAATGCAAGTTCTGGCTTGGCTCATTCTGACTCTGCTTAGCTGCTGATGAACTGTTGTGTTTCTTTATCAGAGTGTTGAGCGCAGTTTTGTTCATCAGGCTTCAGCATATACGTGAGTTAATCTTCTGATTCTGACATTTTGATATGGCAACTTCTGATGCTGATGTCAGGAACCAAATTTCTGATGCTGATTAGGTGTGATCTTGCTTATATCAATCAGAGTATCTGCAAATCAGAACGTAATAATTTAGGCAGCAGATAGTTCATACATGAATCATATAAATAATATATCTTTTCACTTTGTTATCATCAAAACTTAAACATAGGGTAGTAGATTCAAACTTTGTTCTAACAGAGAGTAGTTTCAAGTATCCCTAACGTCAGACCATAATCGAAAAACACTAAGACTTTTAACAAAGTTCTCCATCAGATCATTGTTTAATCCCTTGACGTGAGCTAGAAATGTCTTTGTTGCACCACTTGGTGTTGTCTTACTGCATCATTTGACGCTGTATGCGATAAATGTTCTTTAACGTTTTCTCTATTTCTACTTTATTGGTGATTTCTGGTGCACATTATCCATAAAAAGTAAAATCTAAGAAAACATATGTAGTTCCTCAAGGAATGTTCCAAAGGATACTCCAAGTAGGATATTCAATTGGTAGTTTCTTAAAGAATCTAAAAGATTAAAGAAGCTTGACTTTGTGACATTCTTCTCCATTAAGCAAAGTTCGTTATTTGACCAAACATAAGTTATAGGCATCATTTTCTTAGCTATCAAGGTTACTTAGAAATTAAGAATAGCGTCATAGGTTGCAGCACCACTTATCTTGTGGATAAGTAATAATACTTTACTTGGCAACCAAGCATGCTTAGCCATTAAGAATATCTCTAGTGCTTTGCTTATAAAAGGAAACTCATGAGCATTGTAGTTGTATCAATTTTGAGTCAATGAAACCAGCATTGAGTTTTGTTTAGATCCCAAACACAAATCACTTATATTTTAACCTTAATTTGGGTCTTTTTTTCTAGATAGATCGACTAAGAGTATTTCTTGCAAAGTCTCGGAGACTAAGTTAGAAGTTTTGATTCTACAAAGAGAATAAGTTCCACATAAGTTTAGTTTTTGTATGACTTATAAGGTCAAGTACAACTCAAAGTTCTTAAGTACTGGAATAAATTTTTCTGTGGCCACATGGAAGTGCATCAAATTGTCTATACTGATAAAATCAGAAGCTCACACTAAACAGACAGAATTCTATTTCTATTACTCCACTATCTATCTGCAATGTTACAAGAAAAGTTTTCTGTATTCCTCTGCCTCTTGTGACATCTCTTCCGCACTCCTGTCTTTCCTCTCCTTGTCCAAATCAAGTTTTTCCTTCAATTCCTTCTCCTTTTCATCCATCTGAATCAAATTCAAAAAGGAAAACAAAGAATAAGTGATAAGATAGAGACCGGATTAGAATCAACGGCATGGCATTTGAGAAAACATCTATCTTACTGCATCATATATCTCATCATTCTTCTCAAAATCACCACCTTTCCGCGGGACAACGTGAATGTGAACATGAGGTACTGTCTGTCCTGCTTGGGGCCCATCCTGAAGTGCAGAAAAATCAGTAAGCCAAAGTGAGTGAAAATCTTAAAGCAGAATGAATTTAATGCAAAACAGTTAGTGAAAGAAATGGTTAAATGAACATATTTCACTTCAATCTTACTTGGATGGCCAAAGTGAGTGATGAAGCCTTGTGGTAGCTCTCAAGCTGCCTGCCGACTTTTTGTGCAGTGAGCCATAAATCAGAAGTCTCCTCAGCAGTTAGATCAAGAAAACGCTTAACTTCGCGCTTTGGACAGATAAGCACATGTGAAAACTGTTAAGGCAAATGCTTCCATACTCCTCTAGATTCAAGCTTTACAATTTTACACTGGAAAATAAAAATAATTTTACGCCTAATCCTTAAGGCCCTTTAGCACTTAACCGTGAACATAAATAACTAAACTTATTATATGCACAACAAATGTATCTGCAATTCCAACATCTTCAAACCAATATATGCAAGACATAAATAGATCCTTTAACCTTCATATGACATATCAAACAATCAACTACATGTATGAAAAAGCTTTATGAAACCATAAATCAAAATCGATATTGGTAATATGAAAAAGCTTCATAGAAGAATTGCTAATAGCATGCTTGGGAACTCATTTCCAACCTTTAAACTAAGTTTGATTGAAGCATATGTAGTCTATGTAAAATAAAGGTGTTTGGTTTGGTTGTTTCAAATTAAAATTGATTTTGTATCCAAACCTTGATTTGATTATAATTGATAAAGAGTCGTGGGCCGATATAAGAATAAAAGACCATGAATCCGGCCTCACATAAATATAGACCACGGCCCCAATACAAACGGCTCACAACACCAGCGCTACCCTCTAATGAGCCTAAAAGTAAACTTGGCCACGGCCCCTGATCCAAATCTAGACAGGCACTGAGATTTAATATGGTTGTCCTAACCCAAAAGGAAACTCATCTGCCTCCACGTCTTCACTCGTCATGGGGAGGGCACGACTAATAGAAATCCACCTCCATGTCCCCACTTATCATGAGGGAGGCGTTACAAATCATATTACAGATCATTACAATCTTACTCTATCATTTAGAGTTCTAACAGCGGCGCAAAGCCATAGAACCCCCTATATCCCCCCAAACCCGTACACATCCGGTCCTTGATTATAGCACATTGCTAACAGGGTCCCTTAACCCGAGTTGAGTAAGAACAAGTAGCATTTGCATTTGTATTGAAAATTTTACACTAAAATTTACACCAAGATTAGACTAGAAAACGTGCCAAAACACAATGCTAGATTTCTTAGTCTTTGCACATGTATGTGATTTTACAACCAAAACAGTAACACAATATGAAACACACACAATTAAAAGTTTCATTCAGTCTTAAACTAAAAAAACTACATCAACCATACCACACAACCAGCAGTGTATTATTGAAACCCATAAAAAAGGATATGACCTGCAAAGACAAAAAAACAAAAAAATGTCAAAATGGGTAATTTTTAATCTAATAAAAGACACCAAATTCATAATGAATACAATAAAAAGACACTTTTTTTGTGGTACATGAGTAGCCAAACCTAGTTAACTGTCTTAGAGTAAATGAATGAATTAAAAGAAGAAAAAAAGATTGATTTGAATAAGCAATGAGGTAGATTGTTACCAGGGAGAAGAGGGCGCAGGTTAACCATAGCATAAGAGAGATTGGTTGAGTAGAAGACTTCAGTGGGGTGTATCTTGTAGGGTCCAAAAGTGTAGTGTTGTGAAGCCATCTGCATAGAGAGAAAAGAGGGAATGAATGGAGAACATGGTAGCAGAGAGAGAAAGTGGTGAATCGATAGTTACCTTGATTAAGGAAGAGGAGATTGGTCGGATTCGTTGGGATGTTGAAGAATGTCGAAGTAACAAACGAGGAATTTGGCCAAGGCTGTGCAATAACATTTGTGCCTTCACCAACTCTGAAACTGACTTCAACAAAAAAAAAAACACTAAATCTTTTTCTCTTCCAAATTCCAATTTACTCCTTTTCTCTTCCGATAATTTTACTTAGACTCATTTAATAATATTAAATAAATTTTATTTTTTAAATATTAAAATAGTTTAATTGCAACTTTCTTCTTCCTATTTAATATTTTTTTATATTTTAATTTTCACTTTCAAATGATTTTTATCCCCATTGGAATTTCATTTTGGTCTTTTGAAATTGGAAAAAATAGTTTCTGTGAACTCAATTGTGATGTGAGCAAGAGAAAGTGAGTTATTCACCTGTGTGTTTGATTTTTTAGTTATAACTTATAAATAGTTAATGTGGTTTCTAAGTTATAATAATATAAATTATAAATGGTTTTTTGGAATTTTGTGTTTTATGTATCAGTGTGTTTGATTTCTTGTCTTTACTCTTTAATTTTTAGTTTAATAACATCTATTAATCACATCGCTGTATTACATATATTTTTTTTCAAATATTTAACAAAGAAACACATACAACCTAGTGGTTGGATGCCTTTTTCTAAAGTCAAAAGTTTCAAGTTTAAATTTTGTTGAGATTATTTTTTAAAATTTTGGCTTTAGTCATAACACACAATCAATATAATAATATAATAAAATTTTAATAATTATAAATTAAAAAAATAAAAAAATGACGTGGATAAAATAATTATAAATTTAAAAAAAATAACGTGGATAAAATATTATATATCAACCCAGCTAAAATTGCGCCACGCCGCTGCAAATAAACCAAGCAAAGGAGCATGTGTTGACACATAATATTCAAAAATGCAATTTTTTTCTCTTTGACACAATTTTTACATATTTTATATATTTTCTTCATTGCTATTCAATATGGTTGTAATATTTAAGCTCTTATTCCATCCTCATTCATAAATTGTATCCCCATCCCCCTATTGATGTAATAGCATAGGAATTTAATTTCCGCAAATTTGTCGTTTTCATATAACTGTTAGTAATTAGGGTGTGTATGGCAAGATAAAATCGATGCTTAGAAAAACCCTAATCTCAAAACAAAAATGCATGTAATCAAACACACTTTTCACACTTTCACCTATAGGGTTAACTCCACTTTTTGCCTTAAAAATGGTCATGTTATGCATGCGAGACATCTTAGAAAAAACAAACAAAATACAAGATCAAAGTCCCTCAATGACGCTACGAATGTTGTCTTATAAATGATCTTAGTCCCTTAAGAAAAATGCTAAGATATCTCACTACATTGTTATCTATGACTATACGATGACCCACGCCCGTCCCTTTACATTCAAAGATAGGGCTTCTTACCAATCAATGGTAAGATATCAATATCAAAGGAAGAGAGAAATGAACAATAGACTTTTGAGTAGGTAGAACATTCTTAGTTGCTTGCTCACAATCCATCTTCAAAACAAACATTTTTCAAAACACACCAAACACTTTCAAAACATGAAATATTTTTAAAAAGTCCAACACTTTGTATGCATTCTTATAGAGACGAGAATCATTACAAAGTTTGCCTAAACGAAGGCGCTTTTCAAAAATACTTTCAAAATCCACCACAAACACATTTCAAACAAAGCAATTTCAAAAGTGATCTAGCAAGCAACTAAGAACCCATAGATAATTATGGATGAAAAGGGTGCTAACACCTTTCCTTTTCATAACCTACCCTCCGAACTCAAGAAAATATCTCAAAGGTTTTTCCTGTTCTTTTCACTATTTCCTTATTAGATCAAATAAAAGTCGGTGGCGACTCTTGCTATCCGCAACAATCACGATCAAACACAAAACAACCAAGTCAATTCTCCCACCGTATTACAGTCTTGTTTTCAATCGACACTTTATAATTCTTTTCGACCAACTTCCATATACTTAGCGGATTACTTTTAATGCATGGTATATACAATACATCGGAAATTACTAACTTCTTTCCATCTTTCCTCATAATGAGAACATCACCAATATCTTCAGCTGCTAGGGTATTGTCATTCGCAAATTTCACCATGTTCTTCATTAAGGGCTTTATGTTAACAAACCAACCTTTCCTTCCAGACATGTGTGATGAACATCCTGAATCCAAATACGATTGGTCCTTGAATCTCTCTTCATCTCTTGTTGTGACCATCAACATCATCTCTTCTTTTTCTTCTTCATGTTTTGTAAACTTTGCATCTCTTTCTTGATTCTTTTGTTTTTATGGACAATCACTAGAATAGTGACCATACTTCTGACAATTGAAACACTAAATATGACTCTTGTGAGGTTTTCGACCACCACCTCTTCCTCTACCTCAAACACCACCTCTTTGGCTGTCTTGGTATGAATGTCTTCTCTGATTCGATACAATTTCTTCCCGCTAGATTCCTCTACCAGTGGAATTGTTGTATCTTTCTCTACCTCTATTGTTGAACCACTTCCATTTTCCTTTCTTTTATGTCCCTGACTGTGCTTGCAAAGCCACATCGCTCTTCTAATTGCATGTAACTCTTTCTTTGTTCATGAGATTCAAGTGTTCCTTGAAGCTCTTCTTTTGTCAATGTCGACAAATTCTTTGACTATTCTATGGCTACCATCACATGGTCGAACTTTAGAGCCAATGACCTCAAAATCTTTGTAACAACTAATCTCGTTGTTAATGCTTCTCCATATACCTTGATTTGATTCACCAGTTTTGTAACCCTAATGAAGAAATCAATTATGCTTTCACTTTCTTCCACCTGAAGCAATTCATACGTTCTTTTGTGAGTTTATAACTTCACATCTTTCACCTTTTGTGCACCTCCAAAAGACTTTTCCAGAATTTCCCAAGCTTCTTTTGCAGATTCTACATCATTCCCCTTTTTCTAAATTGTCCAAACTTAGACATTGATGAATTATAAAGAGAGCTTTTATAATTCTTCTTCTTCAATTCTTTGTGTGTTTCCTCTTCCGCTTCTGACACATCTTCTTCAAGCGGTTCAAATGCATCTTTCATAAGATTCCAAAGACCTTGATAATAGAACACAACCTTTATGTGCTTACACTATTTCTCATAGTTATCAACTTTCAGAATTGAAAGACTTGCTGGAAAATACCTATTCAGATGATTCATTGCCATCATGATTTTCTTCCCAGGAATCGCTCAGCCAGTGCTCCAGATACCAGATGTTGGAAATCCACTAAAATCTATGGATAATTTATATCAATCTTGATGACCAAGATTATTATCGATACATAATAACAATGAAAAAAAAGAAAACCGAGGAAGAAATAAAATTAGGGTTTGACAAAATATGGTATCAGATGGTGATTTCTGGAGAGTTTCTCTCTATCTACAAACTCTATAAAATCTTATTCACTTGCAACTACAAATTCTGAGAATACTCTATGAATTGTTTACATATGAGGGTTACTCCCTATTTATAATGAGCTTGCTTTCTCCCTAAGCCAACATCCAAAACTATAAAAGCCCAAAATACAATTTAGACCTAAGTCGAAATCCTGTATCAAGCAAACTTCTTCGACACTTCAACACACACAACTTTGACAAATAATTTGACACACTTCGACAAACAATTTGACACACTTCGACACAGATTAAGTCGACACACCCTTATTATGTCAAGCAACATACTGCTTTGACATAAAGAATTACAATCTAAACACTTTTGAGGATGGTGAATTCTTGTGCTTGGATCCATCATTCTTAGAGTTATGATTCTAATGCATTTTTTTTGTCCGACGGTAATTTTGGTAGGACCTAATTTTTGGTTATTGCCATGATGGTTGAATCTTGACGTGCGAGTAATCTTTCTCGCGGGCGCCAATGTTGTTGTTTGAGCTTATGTGGTGGATCACCCGATCAAGGGACATAAAATTCACATTACTGATTATGATTTTTTGTTGCAGTACTTTGATCTTACACGAGTTTTCTCGTACGTCCATTTTCCAACTAAAGTGAATACCTACAAAATACTTTGATGCTAAAGTAAGGAAAAATATATACAAATAACAAGTAGGAAAATTGATTTAGTGATCATACATAGGGGTGAAACCCTTATTTATAACGTGATAGAACTCATATGCATTTGTTGTATATACCGTAGTCATCTATATGATTGTTATGAACAAACATATTTTTTTTTGTAATTGACTATAAAGTAAGTGGTGACACATGTTTGAATTGGATATGATCCACATTGATACGAAGTAATTGAGAGCATATCAATGCTTTTAGATGGTTGATTTTTAGACACATGACCTTGAGAGTAGATTAGTAAATCACGTCGTCCTCTAATATTTTCGTGAACACTTTAAATTTTGCAGCTTTTGATCGAATTTATTATGTACTTTTAAAGATAAACTTTATTGAGGAAAAACTGAGATTCTTAAACTCATACCATTACAAATACCATTATTATTTTTGTTATTTTTTATAATTTTCTTAATTTATTTAGTATCTATGTTATGATTAATTATTTAATTAATCTATTTATATTTTTGCAATAAATAACTAAGATCTTATTGAGAAGCATATCATTAACATTGTATCGAAGAATGAAAAAAAAAAAAAAATGAATGAAGTTTTCCTACAAATACTACGAGTAAGAAAACAAAGAGAGTATTACTAAAATAGATGTGTTTGACTTAAAGTTATGCGAGAACATTTAATTATATGAATAAGATTCTAAACCTCAATCATTAAACTATTAAAAAAACATGCTATTTGAACACCAAAATACTAACATCAACATGTATTTATTTCTATCTCTTCCACTCTTAACTTTTATCATATGTTTTTCACACATTTAAAATTAAAAATATTGACACCATAATTGTCATCAATTTTTTAATTTACAAACATCATTCCTATTAGTAAAACTTAAGCCTGCCTAAGGGTCAAACAAGTTAAGTTGTTAGATGTTTATATTTCAAATACATTTTTATGTTGAAAGAGAGAAGCAGCCTTAACATGGAATGAAAAGTGTAAACAAATGCATAAATACAAAAGAAGGGAAGTGAGAGAAGTAAACATAGGAGGTGTGAGTAGTAAGAACAGACAAATTTCACTGGGCTATTAGTCTTTAATTGTAAAACGGCCCAATTTGAAATTGCCGCTACTCTTCTATCTCTCTCTCTCTCTCTCCAATCTCTATCCACTTTTCTTTTATCCTGTAAAATCAAAGCACTGGTTCTGAAGTTGCAATTCTTCCTCAACCAAGAATGGCGAACGTGGCAGTTATGGCTACCACCACGAACAACACAACCACCACCAGCCGCTGGAACACGTCCTCTCTCCGCTCCGCCTTACCTTCTATTACTTCTCCTTCGGCTTCATTAGTCCGCTTCACCGCATTTCCTCCTCCTTCTCCGCCAAAACTCCGGATTTCCAAAGTCAAATCCAAACCCCTACTTCCTCCATTCACCGGACTTCGTACTCTCCCTCTCTTCGGTCCTGCTTCCTCAGGTAGAATTGCAACTTCTACTTTTTCGAAATTGAAATTCTATTATCATTTGTGTGAATGTTCATACGTTCAACACTTTTTGTTTGATCCTGTGACTGATTGATGAAAACGGAATCTGTTGATTAACAATTGCCCGCTGTTACTGTATTCTATGTTTCTGCTGTGTTTTGGTTCTCCGTTAGCTCTATGCGTAGAAATCTTCTGCAATGTTTCCAATAGTCTAGAGCGGTTTCTGTGTGTTAGGAGGTGTCTTAGAGTCTTGCATGGCCACATCTACTAGAAATATGATTTACTTAGCGTGTGTTTGTTTCCGCGTCCAATACGTTTGGCCAAAGCTCCAAATTGGAGCTTATATATTTTCAGGTTTTCTGTGCCTTGGAACGCGAGAAACGTTGTCCAAATGAGTTACCAAACATACTATTAGTACTTATAAAGCTTGAGTAGTCATTGACTTAAAATTCGTTAGGTCCAACCCTAATTTTAACACTTACCTTTGCTCGTTGTTGGCTTTTTCCAGTTTTCCATCACTTTCTCTTGATATCCATACTAACACAGTATCACAAAGCCTATTGATTCAAACACTACACCGTGAGCTACTTCCCTTACCAATTCCTTTTCTTCCACTGAAATTCTATCTAGGTATAGTGGTGTAACTTTTTCATACCAACACTTAAGATAAAGCTTGACGAGAAGAACTTTTTCCCATGAAAATGGAAGATCAAATGTGTTCTTCTCATGGTCCTACTATTTGCAAAGTTTTGTTTTTATATCCATATCAGACTTGGAATTTGTACTGTAACATTTCTGATGAAGTTGTTTCTTAGTTAGTTGAGTGTGAATGAAATCTGTTTTTCCATAAAACCCATTATCTTTTGAAATTCTGCACCGATTAACTACTGTACTATGTTATTTGAGCAGAATTTATTGGCTTCGATCAAGGTTTCACCGTTATTAGCAACGGTGGTCGAGTCTATGCTATGAGACATGGAAGGAAAGTGCCAAAACTCAACAGGCCCCCTGATCAGCGTAAGGCACTCATTCGAGGCCTAACAACTCAACTCCTTAAACATGGTCGTATCAAGACCACCAGAGCAAGAGCCAGTGCAATTAGAAAGTATGTCGATAAAATGATCACCCTTGCAAAAGATGGTTCTCTTCATAAAAGGAGACAAGCCCTTGGCTTCATCTATGAGAAGCAGGTTGTTCATGCTTTATTTGCAGAGGTTTCTGAACGTTACGGCGAAAGAAATGGTGGTTATACAAGAATTTTAAGAACCCAACCAAGGCGGGGTGATAATGCACCTATGGCATACATTGAACTTGTGTAATTATTAGTGGATGTGTTAATGGGCTGCAATTATTAGCATCCGAGCTGCAATATTGAGATTTGTAATGCTTCCAATGTTCAACAATTGATTCTACAGTTTTTTCCTATGTTTAGTTGTTTTGTATTTGTAAGTTTTATGTATGGACAAACATTGGTCCATAGATTCACTTCATTTGTATGAGCTCGACACAAATGTGTATTTGAAAAGTATACACATATGACAAACAATCACGAGGCTAGATGCAGTGTTGCTCAATTCTCTGTTCAGTTATCGAAAAGTAAGAACCCTAGTGTTAAGGTATTATATTATTGGGAACTTTGACAATACGTGAGACAATTCAGATGATAAACTAGAAGGTTGATTTGGATATTAAAAAAGTTCGTGATTGTAAGGAATGTCATGCTTTTTAACTGAAAATTACCTCGTTATGTTCTGGTTTGGTGTATAGGGGAATTATTCGAGGAGTAAGGATACTCCATAAAGAGAAATGGAGGTGTCTAATCATGTAATTAATGTCACCATTTTAAAAAATGTGCGCATTTATATCTTGAGGATGGCGTGGAGAATGTTTTAGAACATGATTCCAACCAAAGAGTCAGTATCTCATTTTTTTTTGTGTTCGGCTTTTGCAAGAGTGTGGAGCTGCATTAGTCAATGTTTTGGAGTGGTTGCTTACAGAATGATGGTTGTCAGCGCTTAGTACAATTCAAAGTGTTGTTGGGCAGAGGGAGTCAGATGTCTTCAAAGACGGGTGATAAAGTTTGCTTGTGTGTGGACAATTTAGAAGGTTAGGAGAATTTTTTATCTACATATCATTTTTTTACCAATAAATTTCTATATTATTATACATTTCAACACATATTCCCAATATACTATGTTTTCAAATAAAAAAAAATTGAAGTAAGAGGCTCCGTCCAATGGATTGGCGGATGCTCTCTAAATTATAAAGCTTTTGCCCATTGAGCTGGCGAAGCTATTATAATATCGTTTTTTTAATATAATATTAAATTATACAGTTTCACGTTAACATTCTTTTAGAGTCTCTAAAAATTATAACACTTCCGCCCATTGTTTTGGTGGATGTCAAATATTTTCAACAGCTCTGCCCATTCACCTAGCGGATGCTTTGTGACAAAAATAAAATTTATTTGAAAACATGATAGTGTGAAAATATTGATTGAAGATGATAGTATAGTGAGATTTTTCGTATAAAAAGATGGTAGGACACTAAAAAATTCAGGTTAGAAATAAAAAGATTTTTCAAAATAAGGAAAAGACTAGACTTTACTGGGTGAGGTCATGCTAGACTTTTTTTTTTTAAATAGAAAAAAGATTTTTTTTTTTTATAAATTTATTTTATTAAAAAGGTTAGGCCATAAGCTACCAAAAAAAAATCTTATAAATCTAGTAAATCTATCTATTTAATTAAGTATATATGAATAATTTTATTATTATATAGTGTGTATTTTAAATTAAAATATAAAAATAAAATTTAGATGTTTAAAAAAATTTATTAAAAAATTTTAATAGATCATATTTAGACTTGACAAAATCTAGTTCAGTCTATTTTCACCCTGCTAGTTGGCAAATTGGCAATGGTGTTTTGTTTTTGGTGTTTATATACGTGGTGCTGGATGTTTATATACTCCTATGACTTATGCCTGGCTTTTATTAATATATCAATTCTTTTCTCTTTGAAAAAGAAAAAAACAGCGAGCTCATTTAATCCAATGGGCAGTAAATATGGTCCATATTACTGCCTCACAGAAGTCACCATGTTTTATATACGATTTTTTTAAGTGTAAATTACGAATATAAGTTATATTTTAGATAACTAGATAAGGTTGTTCCTGATATCTTCCTATTGACCCATTCTCTGTATGCCAATTGCCATCTTTCTCTATTCTTTTCCTGCTGTCATCACATCTTCTCCTAACTCTCTCTACATATTAAGTAACAGAAAAACCTTAGTGGGGTTATCTCATCACAACTACAACTACAACAACAACAGTAAAAAGAAGATCAGGATGCTGAGTATGGGGTCTCTAACTTTGAGTTCATCAACTGCAATGCTAGCTCAATCCACTCTCACCTCTTCCAACAGAAACCACATCCTTTCCTACAAAACTCACTCTTTGCCAATGAGTTTGGTCTCTTCCACCAACCAAAATTTCACCTTACTCTCTTCCTTCAAGAAACAAACACCTTTTACCACTGCTGTTGCGTCTCTTCAATCTGATAACGTTAGCTCTTCTGATGCTCCTGCTACCAAGGTTTTTTTCTCTCTCTCTCTAATATAATCCCACATTATTATACTATGTCTTGTGTTCATTATTTATTTATTTTTCTTACCAAGTTGTTGATTTTGATTAATGATCCTGCAAAGTAGTAACATTTTTAACTTATTTCTGTTTTATGTATTATGAGTAGGGTTTCATATTAGAATGTCATTTCATTCTTTCAAAATTTTACTTTAAGAACCATCACGGCTTTGTCCTTTAGAAAAGACGTCTCCTTAGGTTGAGGTCGAGTATGAGTGTTGTATAAAAACTAGCTATATACTCAATTTCGAAGCAATGTGAGACTATTTTGGCCGGCCTGAAACTGTTATCCCCCAGTTGAGGCTAAGAGGCACGGTCCGAACTTTGAGTTCCTACACGCGGCTCCACTGTTTTGCTAGGGAACTAGAAATAATCAGTGACATGATGAAGTAGAATCTTGATGCGGCGGGGTGGACCTGAAAACTTTACACTCCAATGCCCAAGTCATTAATAGAATGGGTAGTAAAGTGAGTTATCGATCAAAGAGATATTCGAGTCTTGTGTGAGATGCTTTATATATGAACAAATGGACGTTCCCTACCATTTTGGCGTGGTATGCGAGGTAACGTTTGATGACATCTAACAGTAGGCATTAGGATCCAGTGTGGTGCTCCAGAGTAGGGTACAATGTACCTTCGGTGCCTAGCGTGGTGACTTGTACTTACTAATGATTGGACCTCACTCTTTCGGGTCAAACACAAAGGTACATCGAATCACCAAATTTTCCCTCAAATTGAAACTCAGATAGCATTCAAATTTAGATTAGGAAACACAAACCTCCATACAATACAAGGTTAAGAAGAACCATCAACATCATTCATGATTTATAATGTAATTTGCTTATAATCTACTAACTATGGAATTCCTGATTTGAACTCAAGTGTGAGTAGAAGGTCCAACTATATGTGTCAACCGCAATTGGTTGATTCCATAATGCTTTCAGTCAATTTAATCCTTAAAGTTGTCGGACATTGACTAATATGATTGAGTATTTTCAATTTTAGAAATCATTATAGAATTTTGTTCATTGAAGCATCGAATTGCGCAACTACTAAATTGGTGATTCAATGGTTTATAAGCTATGCAGTTAACTCTTGTTCTTGATGATTTATAAACATGGGATTCATGTAGCAGTTAATGAGCTGGTTATTTATGGTAGTTATTCTGATTTTTTTATTGTTGTTGTTGCTGAGAAGGAGTTCAACAAGTACTATTTTATTATTGCAAATGCAAAATTTATGTTGGATGAGGAGGAGCATTTCCAAGAGCAACTATTTGAACGACGTCGCTACTACGGAGAGCGTAATAAAGAACAAGATTACTGGCTTGTCATTGAGCCTAAATTCTTGGACAGTTTCCCTGACTTCACCAAGAGATTGCGCAGACCTGCTGTTGCTCTTGTGTCAACCAATGGTCCATGGATCACGTAGGAACATCAATCAATTCTTCATTTTTCAGATGCCAGCTTTTGATGTTTCATACCAAGTTGTAACTCTGCCGTTGTTTTTGTTTTGGCAGATTCATGAGGTTAAGACTGGACCGCGTTTTATCAGGAAGTTTTGAAGCTGACAGCCTAGAAGAAGCATTAGCCTCCAATCCTACTAATCTGGAATTTGAGAAGCCTGCAAAATGGGTGGCACCGTATCGTAAATATGAATCTGGATGGTGGGAAAGTTTCTTGCCCTCTGGACAGACAGAGGTGACATCGTCGTAAGACATTTTTTTCCATTCTATTTCAGTAAGTACTCATACATCTTTTACACCAAGGGTTTTCGCTAATGTAAAACTGAATGTAGTTGACGTCGGTTAAATTTTCTTTTAATTTTGTTATTTTTGGAAGGCAATGTAATTGCTTGATGTTGAAGTGTTGTCCTTAGAATATAAGTTTTAGGTATTGTTTTTATGCCTCAAATGAGTGAAATATAGACATTGTTGTAAAATTGATGTCCTTTTTTGCCTGAAAGCCCCGTAACATGTTAGATATTGCGTCTTTTGAACAAACTGATTTCAAAGGTGATATTTGGATTATATAAAGCTTGTGTAAGGGCTGGATAGTTGATGTGAATCTATAAAATGTACTAGTTTACACTTTTTATTCATCAGCGTATAAAAAGGCTTTCTATGAGACCATATAAGCCTTTATCATATCATCATACAATGCCCCTAAGAACTCTGAAACCCGAGTCGACCTATCGATAAGGACTTGAATCCTTTGGCTTTCTTAATACAGATTTACATTGTAGTTCGTTTTCTACATTCTTGCACCCTTTTTGATGAACACAGGTTTGAGGTAGAACTGTGTTGCGACATCGCCATGGTGTATTAATTTGAATCCACACCATATAGAACTTCTATTCTAGATTGTCATCTTGCAAGTGTCGGGACTTCCCAAAAATCATCTTCATCACCTCTGCATATTGATTATTTAATTCAATCAGCGCCTTCTCAGAAATGATATCTATAATTTCTTGATTTCTTTCATACACTGCTGGGACTGTCATCAATGTCACAGTTGCTACATCAACAGAGCAAAAGAGAAAAAATATTAGTACTAACTTGAATTGATTGTCACTATTATCTTTATGTGGAATCACACAGTTAAGGAATTACTCAATTGCCGCAGTTAAGAGATTGGTACCGTTGAATCAAGTTTATGTTTTGATTCAACGGCATTAATCTCGTTACTGTGGCAACTGTGGTTTCGCTAACTGCACAGAAACCAAATCTGTCTTGTAACCTGACGGCCCTGTAGGTAGCTAGCTGACCTATGTAGAAGATTGTTGAAGCAGTGAACCAGGTGCCTAGAACGGAAACAACTCCTAATGTCCATGTAACCTGGTGATAATTTTCGTGTCAGGTAAAACCGAATGATACTGTGACAAGATCTCTAAGAAAACATAAAAGAATACTGAAGTGCACCTTAAGAAACTTCTTGAAATCTCGTCCGGAAGCTAGTAATCCGAATGTTATGAGTTGTCTGTTAAGTTTTTTTGTCATTGAAATAGCTGTATTAACAAGCAACCCTTCTGGTAAGATGAGTGCTGACAATTTAGGTGGAGACCTGTATTAAAAAGAAAACAGCACCATTCATTGGAGTAATTGAAGTTGTCATTGCTATATTGTTAAAAAGAGGGAGAGAGAAAGAGAGAAACACTTCAATAGCTGAGTATATATATATATATATATATATATATATATATATATATATATATATATATATATATATATATATATATATATATATATATATATATATATATATATATATATATAATGGTCTAGATAGTAGCGACACTTCTGAATCCGTGTCAACGTGTCACTGTTAATGTTGTCGATGTCGTGTCCGGTGTCTGTGCCTATGTGTCTGTGCTGCGTAGATAGTGATTGATAGGGTGGATTAAACTCACATGTCAATGAAGGAAGTTAGATGGGTCCAGAGGAATAGCATTGCCAATAGGATAATGAGAGAGTCACAAATGAAACTAAGCAAGGTGTATTCCATCCTCTTAAAAATAAACCATATGAAAGTTACACCAGCTAGAATGCTTGCTGTGATCTCCTTCTTTCTCCACAGTATAATATCAGCAACTATAAGAAACAGAAGCTAAAGTTTACTGTAAATTTCATCGCAACCAAGACAGTTACTGATTCGCTTTAATTTGCAACGGTTAGAAACTCGAATCCGGTTCTAAAGAAAACAGATAGATAAACACATAGGAACACAATGATGTAGAAGCATGCGAAGCGAACATACCTATTCCAGAACCCAGGACAATATGAAGAGGCAATTTCCGGGCAAAGATGCGGTTTTTGGCAGCAGAGAATACAAAATATTTCTCAAATACAGTCTCAAATTCTGAGTCATCGTCATCAAGTTCTCTATTATGACCAAGAAAATCAGAGTCTGCTACATCCATGAATTCCGCCTGATGAACCATTATTTATATCTTTCTTTTTCTTCTATTATACGTTAGATCTTTCCCTAATGCTATAAATATAAGTAAAACCTGTATATACAACATACATTTCTATTAAAAACAGTGACATGCATGATGGATGCATTAACAAAAACAATGTTACAACATTATATACCACAAGAATTCAAAAATGAAAAACACTTACATTGGATTAATCAATGACAAACACGTACATTGGATTCAGGATTCGTTGAATTTGTTTTTGGTTATCGGTTTCCTTTCTCTAAGTGATAAGCTACAAATCTCCGGGGGCCTGCACAATGAAACAGACCCCTCAAAATTCGCATGAAGGAATGCATGTCTTACTCTAATCTAATTATATAATAGGATTTTAATAATATTTTTTCAATTAGGTAAAAAAGTAATTAAAATAAATAAATAAATAACTACACCTTAGAGATATCTATACGCAGCAATGAGATTTTATTTTGTATATTTTAACATTTTGTACTATGATTTATATTTGGATTGATTGACATTTTATTATTGACATTTTAGCATTCATATATACACAATAGTTATTTTATTTTAATCTAATTATTGAATGACAAATATATATGATTTATTGTTAGATCGATTTATAAATGATTTATAATGTAAGTTTATTAAAAAATGTCAAATTTTCTTTTAACTTACTTTCAAAGGGTGTAATATGTTGTTATAGGGGCGAGGT